CGCCACGCACGCCCCTCCTCTCCCCGCGCGGGTCTCCGGACGCGCGTGGGCTGGCAACCTCGGTGCTCAATCCGCACAGAGGGTGGCGGCGGGGAAGGAGAGGATCGTGGAGAGACCTCGGGTGACACTCCACGAGGGACCCTGCGGGGCTGACTCAAACAGGAAGGTCGGAGTTCATACTTGAGCCCTGCGTGATTTATTTCTTTTTTAAATGTAGCGCCGTACGCTTAGCCTGTGGGTTAGAGAAACTCGTTTTTGTTTTAGTAAGAGCCTGCCAATTAAACCTCATTTTAAGACGCCATTGCTATTGTCTACTGACACTCATTTATCCTGCTGTGGATATCTTGTAAACTTGACTTAAATCATTCATAACTTTCTCCAATGGAGCCGTGATTCTTGTTAAACTTTGAGCAACTGGAAATCAGCTGGAAGGATCTGCCGAGGCCTGTGGTCTCGTGGTCCTGTGCGGGCGTGGCTGTGCACAAACAAGTGGGTAGGAAAGGAAGCAGCCCCATGCCTGTGCTGGAGGGGAGGTCTATGCCCATGTGCCAGGGCACGTTTAACCGCGACTCCCAGTAGAAACACTGGGGATGTCTTAGGCCTTGTTGGACAGACTTCACATGATTCGCCTCATTCCGGTCAGTTATTTCCTCTCCCCTCGGCTGTCTTTGGACACTGTTTATATTTCCTGGGGCGGTCGTAGCGTCTCCTGAATAGATTGTCTATAATGAATCTTTTGGATGTTGTCAGAGCCAGGCTCTGTGTCTGTGTGTTCTCAATTTTTAAAGCAATAGCTTGGCTTTGTTTTTAGAATGCTGGTCACCCGCTGCACCAGTGCTTGGCACTTCAGACCATGGATGTAAATTACCACTGGATTCCAACCCTTTCCCAGGGAAGCAGGAAAAACAGGCCCCTCTAGAATGGTGGAGTTAAATCTACTGTTGTCAAGCAGTCACTTTTAAGTAAGGAGGTTCCCCCGTGTTTTAGAACAAAATGTATATGTCAGCAAGACCATTTTCCAGTAAATAAACTCACGGTTCTCACATATTTTAAATTTCTCTTTATTTTTGCGTGTTTCATACATGTGTACCCCCTTACCCTCTTTCAACCTCCTCCCACTGACCACCCCTTCCTCCCAACCACATTTTCAATAGCAATCAATTGTCGATTGCTAAGTGGAGTTTTAGATAAAATGTTCAGACCCTTTGCCTTTTTTAGCAGTCAGCTAAACACCAGAAAGCTGTGGGTCAAGGCCAGTGAAACCTGAACAGTAGCTAAGACGACACGTTTGTATTCAACACAAGCGTTTGTATTCTATTCTGCTAGGTGTAGAACCCCAGTATGGTGCACAGCACTTAGATTTGTATAGAACTGTGTGAAAATGAGGATTTGTGCTTCACAAGAGACGGCAAAGTGTGGTATGGAAAGGCGGTGTACTCACCTGTGCAGAAAGTTCTGAGCTTCTTTGAAAGACAAATTCTCTTGACAGTTGGGTTGCTGTTGTCACTTGTCACAGAGCATGCCCGGTGATCTGGTTGCGAGAGCGAAGGGCTTCAGAATAAAAGAGAACTCTGGAAAAGTTAGCTAATGCCCAATCATTTTTATTCCAAACCTCTTCTAGTAGGAAAAAAAAAATTAGAATGACATCTCTTACTATGCTGGGTTTTCACTAGGTGACTTTGTTGTTGTTGTTGTGTGTGTGTTTGTTCCATTTTAGTATAAGCCTTACCTAGGAAGGTAAATTCTAGAAGTAATTTTTCTGAGCCCTGACTGGAAAGAGAAGCGGTTTCACAGAGGTTTTCTTGTTAGTCCAGCGTGAGAATAGTGTTTAGCCCCTGTCAGTCTGGCTTATAAAATAGGAGTAATGGTGGTCTCAATTTCTAGAGTTTCAATGACAGTGTAGCAGCTAGTCTTTGGAACATACAGTCTGAAGCTAACCTATGGTAAGTGCTTAGAATGGCCACTTTCTTTTCTTTCTTAACCTAGTTTACTCAGCAGGATACTGGGTAAATTATGATAACTAGAACCTTCTGGAAATATCAGGTTCACAATTTTAAGTTCCAAAGAATGATGAATGTTGGCATGGTAACTCATATCTGTAATCTTAGTTGGCAAAACCGAGGCAGGACAATTGCTGTGAGTTCACACCCAGTCTAGACAACATAGTAAGTTACAGGCTAGCCTAGACTAGAGCGAGATCTTGCTCAAATAATTAGAAAGTTGACCAGATATGTGTGTGTGTGTGTGTGTGTGTGTGTGTGCGCGCATGCATGCGCGTGTGCGTGTAAATATGTTTTAAGCTTGTATGTCCTGTTTCTGCATTTGGTGTTAAATGCATACTATTTTTAGGGCTAGGCAATTAGGAACATAAGTTGACTTTTAAATTTAAAGAAAAATTTTATTTCAAATAGTTACATTTATTAACCTTGGCTAGGAAATTAAATCAAAAACAGAAGCGGCATTTGTCTTTAACCAAGTATGACTTTTAAAGTCTGAAGCGATGTGATCCAAGAGTATGTTGATGTTTGTTCTTGTGTGCATGACTGTCCAAGGCCAGCAGATAAACCATGGAGAAGTAGGGACTAATTGTGTTTATTTTTGTCACAGTGGTTGGTTAGTTACTTCAGGGAATGAACTCATCAAGTCACTAAATCATTTGCTAAAATTTGCAAAATTGAAAAAAGTTTTTACTTTAAAAACAACCCCCTCCAAGCACCTGCTTTTTCTTTAATAGTTATCAGATGCAAAGCGTCAAATTAGTCTGGGTTGTAGCACGTGTCAGTGATAGTGACACAGAGATACTAGTTTATAATGATTTCAGTATAAAGGGTACAGTGTTCATTATGAATTGTTTGGGGCCCATGACACTGTGCCCTGTTGTAGTGAAAGACTTGATTGAATAAATTATTGCTTGCTTTTACTCCAGCATAGTGATGGGTTGTTGGTCATGTTTTACTCCTCGGTGTGTAGATCAGGTGAGTTGGTTAACTTCTCTGTGCTTTTATTGAGGTTGTGAAGAATAACTGAATTTGTCTACATAGACCTTGTGGAACATTGCCTGACACATAGACTATATTCAATAAGTGTTAACATTAATACATCTTTGTACAGATAATGAACATGCATTACTTTTAAAACAGGAAAATGACCTCACAAATTTTCATATTTCTCTCAAATCCCATTATTATTCAAAACATCCTGCCAAGTTGTACTTGCAAAATAAGAGACTATGCAGTGATTAGGCAGTAGTGTTAGGTCTCTTAAATATGAAATTGGTTGTGTTATCAACCTACTGGGCAAATGGATTTTAGACCTTTATTTCATTTTCCTTTCTAATTGATAATTCATGCGTGAAGTCTGTTTTAGGTTGCACAGTTGGAAGACAGGTACAAATATAGCACATTACTGACAATGGCAGCTCGATGTATATTTTTGTAAAGACTTGAAGGAAATACAGACAAATAGATGCCTCCATTTTCTCCCAGTAAGCATGTACATATAACAAATCATTTGTAATAGTAGCCAAAATAAATTCTGCTCTATAACCACATTTAGCAGAATGTTGTTGCGGGGCGGCCCCCCCCGGGCACACCAACTTTTGTGACATATGAATGCCATCAAATTAAGTGTCCAAGTCTTTGCAGCAAATGAGAAGCCCTTCAAAAGTTTTTAGGTTTATCTTCATAAGAGATACTGTGTGTGTGTGTGTGTGTGTGTGTGTGTGTGTGTGTGTATGTGTGTGTGTGTATGCGCGCGCACATGTTACTGGTATCAAATCTAGGGTCTTGTATATGCTGGATGGTGCTGTACACTACTCTCCAGTCATGGGCCTCGTACTGCTACCTCCCAAGTACTGGGGTGATGGATCTCTGCTGCCCTAAGAGAGATAAGAAAGAGCTGCATATACACCAAGTCTGAATTCACAGAAATTGGTACCTTCTGTTGTAATGAGGAGTGAGTGGCGGGCTGCTTTCCTGCTGCCCAGCTCCTGGCCGCCTGGCTAGCTTATACCCCAAAATAACAACACACTAATTGTATTCATTTAAACACTGCCTGCCCCATTAGTTCTAGCCTGTTATTGACTAACTCTCACATATTGATTCAACCCATTTCTAATAATCTGTATCGCCACTTGACTGTGGCATACCGGCATGAGTCTAACCAGCATCCGTCTCGGAGCAAAGAGCCATGGCATCTGCCTGACTCTGCTTTATTTCTCCCAGCATTCTGTTCAGTCTACTCTTCCTATCTAAATTCTGCCCTATCAAAAAGCCAAGGCAGTTTCTTTATTTAACCAATGAAAGTAACACATAGACAGAAGACCCTTCTACACCACCTTCTACATCCAGGTCTTCTGCCTTGACAACTGTGTCTGTAGAGCACCTCCAGTCTGTCCTGAATGACAGGAATGAGGAAGGTAACAGGAACACTGGATAAATAAAATATAGTTGCAGCACAATTGAGTGTTTCTTGCTGTTAAGCGGCCATACACCCTGGGCCCTTTCTAGATCTTTTCTGAGTCCAGAGCTTGCTCAGTTCTCACCAAGGTCCACATGAACCTGGTGTTCCCTAAGTGTCCAAACCTCTTGGGGTA